AGGAGGCCACTAGATGATCACTGACCTTTAAATTGATCGGTTTCTAGAATGTGGCATCAAATTACTGTTCACAAAACGAAGTTCTCAAATGACGAGTCAGCTACAGAATGCCCCCAAACCAGGGAAATGTAGATATTGGTGAGTATTATAAAGCTGTCTTAGTTATATTCCATTTTGGGCTCCCAAAACAGAAAATTTTCCCAAAGCTCGTTTCCCATTCCGAGGGATGTCCTGGATACATTTCACAATCAGCATTAAAATAATCACAAATCAGTACAGACACCTGGAGAAAGTATATTTCTTCCTGCTTCCAACATTATTTATAAAAACATTTCTTTTAAAATCTTTTCATCACAGAACCTTGCAAAATCATTACGTTTTGGGGAGCAGGAAGCAAGGACACGCAAGATTCAGTCCCATCTCAGGTGGGGATATGCTCAAGAATATACCCCAGGTTTTCTATATTAAATAATTGTCTTCATAGTAAAAGTCACGTGTACGGTCTTTAAACATCCTTGAAATAAAGCACCAAAAACACGATACTGAACAAAGCTGCATTTTTGGTATTGCGCTAAGTCTAATTACAATCACTGACTACATGCATACAGGATATATATTACAAAGCATGCACTAAGCACCCCACTTGCAACTGTCTTTCTGAATCAGTCCCTTTATAAAATTTCCACTCTTTCCAGTAGACGCCTTTTTGTTAGATCTTAAGTAAAAGATTCATCTTTATTATGCAGTTGGTTTTTGCTGGTGTCTTAAAGTGGTCCTTCACTGTGCATTAACTATAATCAGACTGTAATTTATCTCTACATTTGTAAGCATAAGTTCCTGTTAAATCAGTTCTGTATATAATTTTTGCTAGATATGCTAACCATGGAAACTACAGGCAACAAACACCTTAAAATTAACTATTTAGGATGAAATATCAATACAGCTACAACAAGATTAACAGATCAACAGTGATACTACCATAGGACATACACAACAGATGCACCAGAACACAGTACCTGATCAGTAACGGGAATGGACTCCCATCTACGCTTCAGTAAGTACAAAGATTTCCGGCTCATGATTTTGAGTTTGCTTTAGAGGTTTTCCCTCTAAATAATGTGAAACCAATGGCAAAAATCTTATTTCTGATTTTTTCGTTCCATTGCTGTAAACTGCAGAGCTCCCAGAGACACAGAAGTTTTGCAAGCTGCAAGGTTGATACTGGTTTTGCCCATGCTCCTTTCCATTTTTTAAGCGTCTGTCTCCTTATAGTTTCATGACAAACAGAATAGGGAGAGATATCAAGAAAGCCTAACATTCACTGACAAATTACCTCACAGAAGCATGAAGTAGGTAGACAACACCAGACGCACTCAATCTGAAAATAGCTGTTGCTTAGGAACTGGAAGGGTAAAACGCAGCACCTCAGCTATATATAATGGAAAGCTTTTATATTTAAAGAGAATTAAAATCACTGGACTTGTGTGTTTTGCTCTCTGTTATCATTTCATAATGATAAAGGAAGGACCATAGAGTCCTATGGTTACACCTGTGTGTTCAACAAGGCAAACATGGCTCGATGACAGCATCAAAATTATTTTAACAAGTAATTCCCATCCCTGCAACGCCTTAAATAAATGATGCATGTAAAGTGTTCTGTGATTCTCCAGTGAAAAATAATTTACAAGTGCCAAATAATATGTTAGATTTGCTCAGCAGGTAATAATTAATATAATCTGCATACTTGGAATGCAAAGGATGATAATGGTAAAATGAATTCCATTAGGTCACAGTTTCCCATATTTTATATATAAAATGAGAGAATACACACACACACACACTCACTGTCTTGTTGTGCCTCATTCGTATTATATATATGAACGAGACAGTATGGTTTAATGGGCATCTATCTCAATATACGCAGGTAGAGATATACCAGTGATCTTCATGATTGCAGAGGGGGGAAAAAATAGCAAGTGTAACTTGGAATTATAATTTTGGATTTCTTAGTTTTGTACTGGGATAAGAACTCTAATTCTGTATTAATGTATTTGTATTTAATATTCTATAAAGAAGTCTGTGCAGTGGTACACCACCCAACCAAGTTGGAAAAAAACCTTCCTATTCACATTAAACACTATCTGATTCTGATCAGATTTAATAATGCATTTATTATATGGGTTTTTAACTTTAGGTGTTCCCTTGATACCTGAAATCGACCATTCATCTGTTCTTCATAAGACAACTTAAAATTCCTTCCAACTAGATGAGCTTCATATGCTCTAGTGCAGTGGTATCCAAACTTTTTTGATCGCGCACCCCTATCAGTAAAAAATTTTTGAGCGTGCACCCCCAATATATGTATATTTATATAAATATACTTCTAAATAGAAGTTCTAATATTTTCTTCCCGCACTCCAATGGATCGTCTTGCGCGCACCCCACTTTGGAGACCACTGCTCTAGTGACAGAAGTTCCAATATCACTGATGAAGGCTGGGAAAGACTAGGGCCTGCCTAATCTAATCCAAAGCGGGGTAAGCCGTACAAATTAATGAATAAATAATTTTTTTAAAAGGTAGAAAGCAACATGACATTGGCAAGAAGTACAGTAGCAGGTTTAGTAATCTAAAACCCTATGTCTTTTACTTGGCATGTTTACTTTCCATTTGACTATGGTGGCACACAAGGAAATTAACTTCATTCACAATCAGAAATCCCCACAAGTGTAAACGTATTTTATGAGCATCCAGCTCTGGCTAGCTAGGCTTTACCCTTTGCTTCATTCCCATAATGTAAAGCAGAAAAAGAACATATTTTACAAGCAAGTCATTGCAAAGTACAAACCAGTATGGCTTATGCCCCATATCAAACACAAATCAGGGGAAACATGTCCAGTACTTGAAAAAGAATAGATTATAGTAGAGTAAGAGAGCTTGTGGTTTTATTTTAAAGCAAGCAGGTTGTTCCAATTCTCTCTCCATTAAGGCACTTGGATAATGTTCCCTAAAAAAAGGCAAATCTGAAATCCAGTGCAGTGATTTTTCTTTTTTTAATCCCAGAGAATTAATAGTCTATTGGAGACCTTTTAATTGTACCCGTTTTATGACTGCTCTTTTTTGAAGGAACCTCTCCACTACACTGAACTACCATATATACCTGAATGTGATGATTTGCATTTTAAGATTCACCCCCAGTAATCAGATTTTATACATGGAAAATTTATAAATGTATATAATTCTATAAATGTATAGAAGGGTCGTCTTAACTTCTTCCACCCACCACTGCAGTAGGGAAAGCAAAGGCAGGGGGGGCAAGTAATGGGAGAAGCTAGGGATCTGAACCCCATTCCTTCCCCTTGTCCCCCCACCACCACTTGCATCCCCCTGCCACCTGCACTCCCCAAAAGTGCCTGCACCCTTGTGACACTTGCTCCCCTTTTTGCCCTTCTCCCCTCCCCTGCCTAGGACATGGAATACATGGCTGCCCCAGCCACAACTGAGGCTAAACAGTGGGGGGAGGAGGGGAGGTCAGAGGAAGGTGGATGAGGGGAGCAGCAGCTGTGACAGACTCCAACCCTAGATTGGCGCTGTGGCTAGGGCTGGATCCACAGCAGCTGCCTGCCCCCCTGCCTTGTACATGAATTCAAGAGAAGGAGCTTTTTCTCGCTATGAATCCAATTCCTTGTGTTGCATTCGAGTAAATATGGTATATGGTGTCCAGTTAGGGGTCCAGTTATTCCAAATACATTAATTATTAAGAAGAGAGTCCTCTATCTTAGAAAATCAGTAATGGACATGTTTCCTTTTATTAAGCCATTGCGAGCAGCCAAAACAGAATTAAATACATAATCTATTTCAAAATGCTATGGCATTCTGCACCAACAGATACAATCACTCCATCATCAATTTAAGATTTGAAACACCACAGAACTTATCTTTCCTTTTTTTAATAGAAGCCTATCAAACACATTTTAACGTGAGAAAGAAAAAAATATTTACATTCAATAGAGTGGCAAAAACTTTTAACTTCTCAGGGCTTCTTGTTCGTAAATATCTTGTTGCTTCATTCCACATGCAGTCTGAATACCTTGACCAAAAATGCTTACCAATAGTTTACCTTCTTCCTCCCCCCCACCCCCGACACAGACCATTCACTCAGAGTACACAATATAAACTTTTCCACCCTATTTCCACAAAAATACATATTTGTAGATACTGACTTAATGCCCAGGTGACCTCTCCATTTAGTAATAAGCCAGGACATGTCAACCTCTCCCTGGAGGAAGCAACACAGCATAGTTGGCTGACATAGTAAATGCCCTCCCAACTCCCTCATCCCCTTGAGAAAAATCATGGCTGTACTGAAAGGAACAGCAACACTTGCATCTACTTCTGCAAGAAATATTTCACCCTTTCTCTACACTGTAGGAGCACTTTTTAAAATAAAAGTCCCATAGGACAGATAAGATAGAATCACCACCTATTTTCTCCAGAAAGACATCTGTCCTCTGTCACACCTTTTTACTTGAAATCTGTTTAGTTTCTGATGTAATGCCAGCAGTAGAATTTAATTTGCACCCAACCCACAGACATACATTAAAAACAATCACTGAATGCTGCTGACACAGGCAGTGGCCTTTTCTAGATCTATTCAGATTGTGTTTGTGTTTGAATAAGAATGATATTAATCAAAAGTTGTCACTGTCCTTTACTCTTTGCCCCATCATGAAAATATGCACGTGACTGAATTTATTCAAGTAAAAAAGTCTCCTGGGCATCCACAGGATGAATTACTTGAATAAAGTTACTCATATGCATGTTTATGGAATCAATTCACTAGTTTTCCCTAAACTTATTAAATTTAATGTTTCTAGTTTTCTTAAATTCTGCCATTTCCAGGACAAGATAAAAAGAAAAAGCTGTAACATATGCTGTGAAAATCAGCACTCGCACTAAGCTTACACAAGAGCAAAAAGGGAAAATGTCACCAGTAACCAACCTGTGATCCTCTGGGTCCTCGTTTATGGTCGCATTCTGAATGTCCCATGAGCTAAAAAAAAGAAAGCATAGGTTAGAGCAAATGATGCCTTATCATCATAAGTTGCATAAGGGAGTTGCATTTTTTGTGGTAATTTACAGTTTTTCTTTTAAATTAAGTAAGTTTATTATTTTCCAATTTAGTGAATACACTTTCTAGCTATTACTTTTTAAAAAACACAACTTTCAATTTACTTACTTGAATTCCACATTTCAACAATCGTTAGGACTATATCGCACCTACCCCCACACAGGCAAAACAGATTGTGCTCATGCAGGTAAAATTCCCATTGACATAAATTAAGATTTGGCCAGATGTTCAAAAAGGAACTGGCAAGAAACATGCTGATAAATCAATAAATAACCAGATTATCAAGAGCCAAGTTTTGGCAAAATGCCAATGCAGATTTTATACACATCAGACAAACTAGCAACTCCAGCAAGTCTCTGACAACTAATAAAGTATTTGGATTTACAATACTAAAATACACTATAATACAAAAGCAGAAGTATCCTCCCTGAGAGAGAATGGATTTAGGTCACTCCACTATTTTAGAGGAAGAGTATTTGTGAATTAGATGAGGTGAGTTCAGTGAAGCCCACTATTTCTGATTTAAATTTCTAACTGAAATGAAGATTTGTGATGCTGTACAACTGTTTATGTAACAGAGTTAAAGCTCCATTTATTTTCTGTGGTCCAAACGCAACTTGTATGACGTATGTCAAGTAAGTGTCACATTATCGTGGGTACAATCCACCAGATGGAGGATTGAATAGACTTTGCCATCTGTCCATACAGCCTCAGTAGAATTAAGCTTCCTGCATTTTCTCTGTTTTACCTTAAAAATTATACTTATATATGAACACACTAAAAACACATGGAACCCACATTTGTAGGGTTACTTTATAGATTATGGAATTATAAATTGAGGATGTCTTGGGAATTCATTACTATTTTGGACCAGTTATGAATATGATAATTGACCTGTAAATTGTTAATTTAACAATAGGAAGAATAAAGGCGCGTTTCATGTCCAAGCTAACCTTGTGTACTCCAAAAATCAAGAAAACAAGAGCAATTGTCTGTTACTCATACCAGCATAAATGTATTCAAATATATGAATATGCATGTGAAATAGAGCAGGATAGAGTGAACACTTAAGTTAATTACAACAATCCCAAATCCTTTCATTTAGTCTTCAGTTCTCACAGTTTCTCCCTCTTTCCAAGTCCCTTCCCAAAACACAGTGCCACAACCAGAATTCCTATACCTAATCCAGTAGTAGCTAAACAGGGTTTTACCCTCTTATTCCTTTGTGCACACTGGATACACGAACACAGGACAAAATGCCGTAACTCATTTTTTTTAGGAAGCATAGGGAGGCATGCACAGAAATTCTTATGCACTTCATCAGCTGTTCCTACTCCTTTTCTTCAAGAGGCAACTTCATATTTATGCTGCAATCTATAAACAATAGGGGTGTGCGAAACAGTCCATATTCGATTTGGATTTGGCCCGAATCAGAGACAGTGATTTGATTAGTTTATTTGGATCACTGTCCCGATTCGATTTGGCCGAATCCAAAGATTTGATCCTGATTTGGAGAATCAGCGATTCAGCCATAGACACAGCTTTAAATGTTTTTTTCTATATATCTCAAAGTACCAGGAATGGCTTGTGAATGCTGAGATGGTGGGCTGGACAGGGCGTCCCATAAACCCTCCCCCCCCCCCCATGTGCTCAGCAGCAAACCTGAAAGTTGACCGGAAATACTTCCAGTTCACTTCTGGGTCCAATAACAAGTGTGAGGGGGACCCCCCCCCCATCTGCGCTCCCCTGGCTTGGCAATTGGGCACAGGGGACCCCAGGCGGCTCCCTGGACCCAGAAGGCACCAGCTGCCGAGCCGGGGGGAGGGTCTCCTGCATGCTCCCCGGTGGACTCAGAGGTGGACAAAAAGTGCTTCTGGTCCACTTCTGGGTCCACTGCCTACCATGCTAAGGACCGCCTCCCCATGCTCTCATGGGACACTCCATCTGCTCCAGCATTGCAGCATTCACAAGCCACCTGGTACCTTGAGGCATGTAGAAAAAACATTTAAAGCTGTGTCCATGTCCAAATCATCAAATCTCTGATTCGATTTGGAAGGTTCTGATTCTATTCGGAGAAATTAAAGCGTCTTCTGATTTGATTCAGATTTGGCTGCTGAATCAGGCCGAATCTCTGCCAAATCGAATCAGTAACCAAAGCTTTGCACAACCCTATAAACCACCCTTTCCTGAGCACAATCACACACTGAGATCCCTCAACCTGAATCTACTCCTGCCCAGCACCTGCAGCTTATTTCAAGCTTGTGTATACCGTCCTCCCATTTGCAAGCTACAGCTGGCCATCCACCAACCATGGCCATTATGCTACCAATCAGGTACTTCTTACTCCAATACTCAATATGTAAGCCCCAACTCCCAAACAGCTCAGACTTCTCTCTGTTGCAGTTCCCAGTATGCTGCCTCTGACCCGTCTTCTTCTGCTCACAGGCAGTCTCTGGCTTCCTAATAAGCCAGGTTTCCCCAGACTCTGGCAGTACTTCCTTTTCAGGTACTGAATGGGTTCTAAAGTTCTCTCCTGGCTAGATGCCAACAGTCATTTTGGCAAATTTTATTAGCAAACATCTGTGACTCCTAATAGCAAACTTAAGCATCCTTATGCATTTCTATAATCTGCTTTGCTATCATAAAAGAAACCTTTTTGTTGCTGCCATAACTGTTTCCACAATGCATGGTGTCCATAACAAATACTGATCTTTCTACACTTCAGGTATTTTTTGTATTAATACATTTTGCAAAACACAGTGGTGCATCTGCTGGCATGAAATAGAAATTCCAGTTTAAGAGACTTGTATAATTATAGAGCACTGCATTCCTTGTAAACAAATGTATGGTCCTAGAAGTTGCACTTACAAAATCAACCCTATTTTCTTTTATAATCTGCATAAACTGGGTCCGTGTTAATATTTAGTTTTTCCTCAAAATACAGAATACTGATTCTTTTTTTCCCTCTTCGCTGAAGCTGAAACCATTCTTGTTCACATCTTGTCCCAAAGAAAACAAAACAAGAAAAAATAATCACTCCTGTTCAAAGGCCTTGAGTTTTATAAAAATGTACAAATGAAGTAGCTATAGCACAACCTTCCATAATGCTTCTGCAAGTGTGGTACCTTTTTTATAATGACTACAATGGACCAATACACTAGATGCCACATTGTTTACCTCTGTAAGCCACACTTCGCGAGATAAGTTCCAAAGCTTGAAAAGATTTCCTTTCAATGGGCAATCAGTGAGTGCTTGAATATAATACATAGAAAACCAGCAAAGCAATTATGCTAGACTATCAGACTGCTCAAAATTCATTATGTCTACAAGCTTAACAGAAATCAGGATGAAGAAAATGAAACAGCTTTTAAAATGACACAGTCAGAAAAATGCAGAGCCTGGATTAGTCTATTTTCATCTGTTTAAATTTTAACAAGTGATGTAAATACAGCTTTTATTTGATCAGGGTATAGCAGAAAATGAAGATATATACACATAAGAATGGATTTTTCAGTGGCAGGATGCAAGTTTATCAACTTCAGTGTTAAAGGATAGGTTTATTCCCCAACTCCTCTTTCAAAAAGCTGCTATATTGGATGCAGAATTGGATCCAGTAGAAGGCCAGTGGCTCTTAAGCCAGACAGCTACAGTACAAAGGCTAGTCAAACTCACCATGATGAAATCAATGTTTCATTCCGCTAACAAATCTCACCACTTCCTCTCAAGCAATGGGAAAACAAACATACAAAGAACGTGAAGCACAATCTGCCAGCACGTACCATTTCTGTTAGTCTCACAGGGAGGTCAGTCCCTTCTGAATCTTGAACCCAAATATACCCTAGATGCCAACCATTTGGCCACATCCATACAAGCATGCACGTGTTTTGAAGCACCTCAAAGGTACTCTGGTTTCATAGACTAAGTTCAGAAAGTCAAAAAGCCTGAAGATGAATAATTTCAATTAGTTTAAGCTGTAAAGATTACACCGATAAATAAGTAAAGACATTCACTTTTGATTCCAGAAATGCAGCCACATGCCTGTAGTGGCCCAGGCCAGAAGCTGGGGGACACTAGGGCATGCCTCCCCGCTCTGCTGGAGCACACATCTTGGGCCAAGGCTAGCCTTTCTACCCTGCAAAGCATCCCAAAATGCTGGGGGACTGTGAGTTAACTTGAATCTGGAGTATATCTGAGATGGGAGTGCAATAAACTGATCTAATATAAATAGATTAAGTCTGATACTACATCCATCCATGTTTATCTTAAACTGGTTTTAGTCATTTTGAAAGCAGTTTATGTGCAACTAAACTTCCATTGTGTTACAGATTTGAACTAATTTCCAATCACTTATATCAGTTTGTGTGTAATTTCTGTCCCTGGTCACTGTGATGAGAGGAGGGATCTTTAAATAAATGGTGTGCACTTTCTGGCTTTATGGACGGGGGTTTTTTTGGGGTTTTTTTTAATGGAATTCATGGTTCATAGGCAAGAGTTTTTAATGTCTTCTTTCACAGGCTGCCTGTAAATTTACAGACAGTTAGCAACCATGTCTTGGAAGCTGTGCTGGTAAAATGTGAAAAAGCACTATATGATTTGACTTCCACATCCAGAAAGGGAGGAGTCTTCATTCACCCAAAAGATTAGACCATGAATAGCCTGGTAAACCAGCTTTAACACAACGTCAGTTATTGGGCAAGGCAAGACAGCTTTCAACAGTAAGAACATTTGTTTTGTGCCCAGAAATGCTTGTAAGTATAAGGTGTAAGGTGAGGAAAAAGGTTTTAACTAAAGGCAATTGACCCTCTCAGCCCTGCAAATTGGTTAATGAATATTCAGGACAAAATAGAGACACTACCCCCACCCCCTGTCTAAGCATGACCCTTGTTTATGGCAGAGGGAAGAGTAAAGGAGAGGGGTTAGCAGTCTCTTTCAACTAGGCCTCCAGACAGCAG